GTTCAAGGCCAGGTTGGATGGGGCTTTGGGCAACGTGGTCTAGTGGAGGGTGTCCCTGCCCATGGCAGGGGGTTGGAATGAGATGGTCTTTGAGGTCCCTTCCAACCCAAACCATTCTATGATTCCATATGAGACTTCATACACACAAACATTTCAGTTTAGTAGGCATTTTTGCCATTCAAGGATTAAGATATTCTTCCCATTCCTCCTGAACTCAGATTTTTCCTTAACTTGACATATCTTAAGTAGTGGGCATAGAATCAAATACTAGTGAATTCTAACGTTACCAAGCTACTGTATGTCAGCCAAACACCTGCTTTAGGAAATCAAATACATGGTCTCAGCCTATTCCAGCTATTATGTGTGTTAACTTAAACCATTCGAACAGGTTTAAGCTAATATGTTTTACCTCACAGCTAGAGCAATCTAAGTGGCTCAGATAATAGGTGGAAAAATATAAAACCTCCTTCTACTCCCAGGAGTAAACAGTACTTAAAAGTGGCTAGCAGAAAGCCCTCAATGCACAATGTTTTGGGTCTCCCCTCTCCCCCCACGTAGAACACAATAAGCACAAAATCAGATGTGCTGAGAGGCAAAGAAAGGAAGTATGATTCAGGTGCTACTGTGATTACACTGACATCAAAACAAAGACCAGCAGGGACCATGTTATTGTGAGACATCTGGAGGGGTACCTCCACAGCAAATAGTAGTATTAACTGCACTTGAGTGAGTTCTGTTCGGCATTGCATGGAGCTCCTTCGCAGCTGTCATCAGGGATATGGCAGTGTCAGAACTATGAAGAGCTTAGAACTAAACAAGCGTCCTTGAACTATGGATGTTCTTCAGTGAAAAGGAAAAGAACTTCACATAATTAAATAAAATCCAGAACATCTTAAAATGATGGATTACAAAAGCTGGGACACAGAAGATTCCATCTGCTGCTCTTGAGAGTATTAAGGAGAAACTGAGATAGCTAGCAGGCACTCTTCTACCTAAAACTTTTGGTGATGGACTTAATATTTTGAAGCACTGCACATCCACCCTCACCTCCCCCAAATGAAACAGCTTTGAATAATTAGTTTTAACCAAATTTTTGCCAGCAGAAAATCAGAGAAGCTCTCAACAACTGACTTTACTTTTGAAAGGGTGGGCTTTACAGTAGTAAATACTTTGAAAAGTATTATTTGTCTGTGTGCCTTTTACAGGTGTCATACATGATGGTTTGTCTCGTAATGACTGTGAAACTACTGTTTATATTTTCCACTGGTTGGGGCTTTTAAATATGACATTACTTGTCAATATTAATTTGCCATGTCGACTTAATATTTTCAGCACAAGTATTCAGAAGCAAGTTAGGAAGAACACAAAAGTTACAAAAATAAAACCAAAGCATGCCTTTCATTGTGCAGTACATTTAAAGACCATATTACTTACAGTTGGGATGCATATCTTGCTCAAGGGATTGCCATCCAGTAGGTATGAGCCATTGAAGGTCACATATTCGTCATAATATTGAGGTGCCTGAGGAATAACACTGCACAGTAATTTACGCTTCTCTTCTATTTTTTTTCTTATGTGCAAGTATTCAAAATATGGGTTTGCTCTCTCAGAACTGTATGGCTGAATCTCTTCAAGTTTCAAAGAATCAACAATAGCTGCCAGTGACTGCTGGGTTTTCTCCTTAGCTTGCAGTAAAGAAGGGTTCACTTGCACAGGCTGAGGCACACGCGACACCTTTCTTTTACGTGGATGATGTACCTGAGCATCATCCTCTTCAGTTAATCTAATCCTTGCTTTCATAGATGCTGATGATTCAGACTCTTTTTCTGATGTCTGCGCACAGCCAACAGGATTCTGCTTGCCCTGGTTAGCAAGTATATTTGCTCTGTTCCTTGTAATTCTTTGAGGTACTTCTTGCTGTTCCATCTTCTGATCCCCAGCAATTTCTTCATCTAGTTTAACTATTTGGCTGTATTTATGTACCTCTTCCGGTGTAATTTGTTGTGAACTATTTTCCAAATTAGATAAAGAGGAGTACTGTGGTAGATCATCTGTCAACACATTTTCTCTGTCTGCAGCGCAGGGTTTTTTATTAGCTGATTCATTCGTAATTCCCTTTGACATTCCTGAACTTAGTTCACAGAGATCGACGTTGGCTTTATTATCAACAACATGCACCGAAACCAACTTTTCTTGTTGAGCTTTTTCATTTCTAATGTCTGAAGTATCTGCTGTGTTACTATCCACTTCACTGTGAGCATTCTTACAAACAAGTTTACTGAATGTGTATGAATTTACATTTAATTGTGAACTGCTATCACTTTCAGGAATATCTTTTTCTAACTGTACCATAGGTAAATCATTCAGCCTTTCATAGCTCTGTGAAATATCCTTCGCAGAGTTCTCAGAATATACAGCAATGGGTGCATCAGCCTTCTTAATGTTTGAAGGGAAGAAAGCATTTTCCAGCTCTCTGGTACTAGTAGCATCTGTATCCAAGGTAGAAGTTGTAGTTTGAACTAGATTTTGTTGTTGTACAAATGATGACCCTTGACTGCTAACACCTGGTAAAGAAATGTGTTTAGACACATCGAGGGGTGGCTGAATAGGTAAAGAACAAGGCGACTGTGAAGGCAAAACTGATGCAGATTCTTGAGAACTGGAACTTCTCTTAATTTCAGCATGCTGAGGCAAAAATTCAGATACTTGTTGCTCTTTTAACGTCCTGTTTTCAGAATTATGCATTGCTATAACACTGTTAGTATCTTGCTCTGATACACCGTAACCTGAGCTGTTAAACTCATTGTTTAATGAACTAAGTCTGTCAAAAGGCACATCCCATGGTTTGATTTGCTGAGTCACACCACTTTGACTACATGGCTCTAAATGTATATTATAGTCTTCTGACGGGCTCATCTGAGCAGTACTTTTAATGGTACTTGTACTCATTGTTGCCTGCTTGTTGCTAGCGGCTCCAGTCAGAGATGATGTAAAGTTTGACTGCAAACCAGACATACTACTTTGAAAATCTCTTTCAAGCATGCTACACGGTAGTTCTGGTTTAGGAGAAGTGCTAACATAAGCCTGAACTGATGGCAGAGTATTCTGATTATTTTCTTCTGATAGTCGAGGCAGTTTGCTGTGTTCAGAAACAGCAGCAGGCATGCTGCACCTTCGAACCTCTACGACAGGTCTACACTCATTTAAAACCAGTTTAACATCTTCAACAGAAGCTGATCTAACGTACGCTGGTGGAAGCCTGTTTGCAAAAGGCGGCTTAATGCGATCTGGCAACTCAGCAAGACCATCGGTCTCTTTTTCAAGAAGGGCTGGTGATTTGGCACTTGCCAAAAATGGTGATTGTGAAAAAGACATTTGGGAATCAGAACCTTCTAGCATAAAGTCTGAGTCATATTCAATTACAGGCCTTGGAGTAGTTACTGTGGTATGGCAAGAATCCTCAGAGCTTGCAACTGAAACCATGGACACTGATCTGGAGCTCAGACCTGCCTTTTCACTTTCTGATTTGGGAGATCTATTTAAATTGTCTAAAACCAAGGAAGACTTTATAACATTGACACTTCTTGTATCTACTGATTGCGATCTATTACTTGTAGCGTCTTTCTGCTGTTTTTCCTTCATACAAACATCTGGCAACTCAGAGCTTTTTGAACGAATCAGTTCTTTGCTTTTTACTTCAGCTAATGAGTGTTTTGGTTTTTCTTTCATCTTGTTAAGTTCTAAACAAGTGCGGTTTCTTAAACGTTCCTTCTCTTTCTGTTTTATTTTTTCTTTATGTTTTCTATGCCACTGCTCTATTTCCAGATCTTTAAGGCTAAGCATTCTTTCAAAACTAGTTTGCATTAAATCATCGTTGACTAATCTTTTTTCTTTAGGTCGAGCATCCTTTGCTGCAGGAGCTGGTTTAGGCTTAAGTTTCTCATGTTCGAGTTTTAGTTTAAGTAAACTAGTTTGATGTAGTTTATCTTTATGCTTGTCTCTGTCTTTGTATCGGTCTATATCTTTATCTTTTTTATCTTTCTCTCTACCATCTGGAGTTTTCAACAAATCATCTTTTGGTTTTTCTTTCAAAGACAACACTTTGTCATGCACGGTTTTATTACCTTCTGTAATACTGCATCTCCTTTCCTCTGGCACATGTTTTGAGTTTGCTACTGTTGAGATCTCCTTGTCTTTAGATTTGTCTTTTTTTTCAAGTTCCTTTTCTTTGTCTTTATTTCTATTTTTTTCTGATTTAGTATATTCGAATTCTTTTTCAGACTGTTTGACTTTTCTTTCAGTGCAGTGTTTTTCTTTGCTTTCAGCCCAATGTCTGTCTTTATCAGCCTTTTCTTTATCATGCTTCTTATCGTTTTTTTCTTTACTTCTTTCTTTGTCATCAAGTTTTTTAAGAATACCTGTGCTTTTTATTTTATCATTTTCCTTATGGCATCTTTCTGCTTGCTGGAAATTGGGCTTCTCCTTTACTTTCTCTATATTTTCATTTATTTCTGCTTTTTCTTTCTCTGTCTTGTATTCATGTTTTACCTTTTTCTCTTTTTCTCCATTTTTTCTTTCTATCTTTTCAACATCTTTTTCTTTGGTGGAGGTTCGCTTTTCAGGCTTTTCTTTATTTTCCTTTAAATTCTTTTCCTGCTTTTCAGTATCTGTTTCTTTTTCTATTAAATGCACGCTGGCTCCCTCGTCTTTAACACCAAAGCAGAACAATTCAATTTCTTTATCTGCAAGCCTAATTTCTTTTTCTTCTTTTATATCTTTTATTTTTTCATCCTTGAAAAACTTCTCATTCTCCTTTTTGTTCTTCTCTTTCTCCTCTTTAGCATTTCTCTCTTTCTGGAACTGTCTCTCCTTAACTAACTTATCTTCTTTTGCTTTTTCTAGCTTTGATTTTCTGTCTGAAGAAAGAGATTCATGTTCTATATTTAACAACGTATCGTCATTTTCATCACTTTTGAAAAAGTTCTCTTTCCAAAATTCTCTGTCAAACTCAATACTTCTTTGAACCTCTTTAACGTTATGCTTATGTTTTTCCTTTTCCCCATCCTGTTCCTTTTTGTGCTTGTCCTTTTCTCTTTCTTTGTGCCTTAATTTATGCTTTTTAAGTGTTTTACCTTCCTTGTCAATCTTTCTCAGAGTATACTCTGAATTCTCTAATGTTGATGTATTATCTTCCTCTTTAATTTTTGGACTAGATTTTTCACCAAATTCTAAGTGAAAATCTTTTTGATGATGCTTGCTTTTTTCTTTGTGCTTGCAAGATTTGCCACTAGAACTTTCTACTAGATATTCAGAATCAGCATTGTGCTCATACCGAACTAATTCAGATTGCAATGTTATTTCAGAACCTCCTGGTGATAAGCAAGTTTTGGTGTTTTCTTGCTTTAATGGTGTTGACTGCTTTTCACTTAATCCACAGGGATGCTTCGGAGATTTACCTGCAGTGATATGAAACAGATGTAAAGAAGAATCTTCTTTTGGGGTGAAAGACTTCTTAAAGGTTTCTTCCTCTCTAGTTTTATCTAAAGAATCTAACCCAGAAGTAGCTATATTTGTTACTCTGGCATTTTCTTTTTCTTGCTTTAGTTCTTGATTCTCTTTATTTTTGCTCTGATTTTTTACTTTCCTTTTAACTTTGCCTTTTTGTTTGTGTTCATTTGTAACCATGTATTCTTTCTTCACTCTTACATCAGAATTTGATGTCTCTGAAATAGAGCAAGGAGAGACTATCTTCTTATCCTGAAGTATTTCTTCATCTGAACTTTCAGAACTTGAATACAGAACTCTAGATGGTTTCTGCTTTTTGCTTTTAAATGATTTTGAGAAGACAACTTTTTCTTGTTTCACAAACAAGCTGTTCTTTTCAACTTCAGTCTCATCCTCCTTCCTTAGGTCTTTTCGAAGAATATGTCTGTCATCGATCATTTTTTTCATTTCATCTTCATCATCATCTTTAAACTCATACTCATCAAGAGCAGATGGAAGTGGTGCCTTACTAGGGACCGTTTGTTTGCTGTTATTTGCTACAGAGTCCTTTTCTGCTTCCGAATCAACGTTCCCCTCTACGCTAGAAGGATTTACAGATGGAGCTTCTTCAGAATCTAGAGTAAGAAAACCAAAAATTAGTTGAATACTGATGGGACATTCCTCACACATTAGTTCAGGACAAAATAGTTCAGTTCAGCAGTCATACTGCTATACAAATGAAAAAAGAAAAAAACACTCAAAACATACAATAAACCTTCTCACTGGAATTAAGCTTTGTAAGAATAAACAAAAGGTCATGAAACCAAACTGCTCCCCACACTTTACAGCTGTCACTCAGGTATGTAAAAATATTAATTAGCATTTATATCTCAATCTAATAACAACAATGCACTTGAAATTTTGTAAGCCTCATCTATTGTGCATGTTTCAATGGCAGATAAGTTTTTATTCTTAAAAGACAGCTGCTTGTGTAAAGAAATTTCCTCATGTACCTGATATGGATAGCCTGAAGTAGACCATGCTATGATTTACTGCAATTGGTCTCTGCTATACAAGTTTATCACGTGGAACAAGTATGTTGTACTGGATGACTTGGACTTGCAAGTCCAAAATGTAAACCTCTCAACTGTTCCTAAAATTTAATTTTAGGAAACATATGGAGTGTTATTACCACCTGATCAAATGAATGAATGAAAAACCTAAAACTCAAATATCTTTAAAAAGTATTTCTGGATGTATTGTTTCCTCCAAACAAGGTTCTGAGTCAACCTGAATCTATCAGTTTGCTTTTTAAAAAGGACTGAGTATTGTAATATTCAGTACTATGGACTAGAGATTTGGCATACTGAATAAAAAGTAACAGAAGAGTTTGAAATAATAGTATAAGGAAAGTGATGAAGCAGTTTCAATGCATTAAAATTTTGAATGAGAAAAAAAAAAGTTCTGCTGCAAGAGTCCCCCTCATTTCCAGTACGATTCTCTGTGGACCAACTGCCAGTATACAATGGTTAGGCACATCCCTTGCCAGCAGGCTCCTCACCTACACAGTATCAATAAAATAGATCCCAGAAGTCCCTCTTCTATATTATCTGTAGCACCCAGAACATATTAATAGTTCTGTGCTACCAGCTTTTTATATATTCCCCCTCGCCCACATATACATGCCATCATCTTCCTGCCTTAACTATAACCATCCTTGTAGCTTGTCTGTGCCTTCCCTTCATCCTTTTTCTACAAGGTAGTTGCTGCTTCTCTCTTCCATGTCTCTGTTTGCTTTGCTACTAACAGTCTTTCCCCATCCCAAACACATGAGAGAGCTTACTCTGTAATGACCAAAGGTAAGGCAATGCAAGTACAGGAGATGGATCACCTATTCGCTAAGCCTGACTCCTTGGAAAAAACGCAGAGAACATTCTGCTCCTCTTGGAGACCAGCCCACGGAAACTAAGCAATACCCTGCACAGACAGACAACTGTTGAGGAATCAATTGCTAAATAGCAACAATTATGCATATGTAAAAATATTTTTCTTAAGATTCATGATTTGGCTAAGCTTAAGCAGATTCTGTGGAGCAATTCCATGACTGTCCCTTAAAACAGAATGATTATGCACTACATTTCAGGCTATTCTTCCATTGCCAAAAAAGTTAACACTACCATCAGAACATTTATCAGCTTTACATAGAGCAATATGCTTTTTTTTTTTTCTTTAAGAATAGTGAAACTTTGAATAGAAAATTCCTAGGGGTTTGGTTTGGGTTTTGGTTTTGTTTTTTTTTTTTTTCATTTCTTTAGTTGGTGGTTGGTGTTGGTTGTTTTCATTGTTGTTAGGGAAAAAGAAACTGACTCTAACAATCATGTGACACGATGCTCTCCCTCATGTAATTTTTACGGAATCACAGAATGGTTGAGGTTGGAAGAGCCCTCTGTAGGTCATCTGGTTCAAGCAGGAACATCCAGAGCCAGAGAGAGAAATGAAAAAGTCATAATAAACATTTCAGATAATTCAATTGAAAGATTTGAAAACTACCTGTAAAACTAAAAGTGGAAATCAACTTTAGCAATAGCAATTGCTACCTGCAGCTACTTTTAATAGCTAACATTATGCAAAAGATCAAACCCACCTAACTTCAGGTGAATTGATGCACTTGAAGTATGCAATTAAACGGCTACTTTTACCTGAGCAACTGTCCTCATCATCAGATATAGGCACCTCCCTTTTCAACAGCATTTCCAACTCTTCAGTTTCAGCAACATCAACAGGTCTCTCCCCATGCTTATTGGCTTGAAAAGGATTTCCACCATGTCGAAGCAACAGCTTCACAATCTGCAGCATTAAATAAATGAACTTTTAGGTTTTCCACATGTTACTTGACCAGCATAAAAATCTTCCATTGCACATAAAATGTGGATAAGGTGATATGCAATCCTATACTCCTCTTACGTATGAAATCGAGACTGCAAAGCAAGACTTCAGCAACTAGAATGCAAAGTCCAGGTATACGTAATCTGCTCATTAGAAGAGGTAACGGGGAAGACTAAAATTGTCCTCTGGTACGCAGACATAGAACCATCATAAAGAAAAGCAACAGTGGCCTTTTGTTCTTGCTGTTCCAGCATTTCCTCATACCATTCAGATGGTTCCTCACCTACCAAGCTCTCTACTCCTCTGCACTCAATTCACCTCCTTGCTCCACATTTTATAGCACTTAATTCTAAGGAACAGAGAATGTTTTTCAAGTAGCAGTACTATTGGTTTCCACACCATTTCCAAAAAGCCCTGAGAGAGAACCAGGTATCTTATTGGAGGAACAAACTACCCCCATCCCCAACTGAATACAATACAGCAAAATCATCAATTTCTCTAGCATCAAGGGCAATAAATTGTTAAAGTTACAATGATACCAAGGCCACAGCCCAGTATGAGTTACGTTTTTTTTGTCCTACATGCTAAGAACGGGTAAATTCAGTAGACAGTGATATGTTAACGTGAAATTTCAGAATTTCTCCGATACATAATGTCAGTGACATGGTCATAGATAGGTATACTGAGACCAGACAAGCAAGAGGCCCTGTTCTCCAAAACCCTACTACAATTTTATGCTAATTCAATCTAAAGATCCACTTTTGTTTAGATACCCATGAGAAACAGTTACTAAACAGCTAATAAAAATTTCACAATCAGATTATCATAATTAATTTCTATAGCCTTTCCAGAAGATCCTTTCAAACTGAACATCTTGTTTGAAAGGTTGGCTTGATTTAAGGATATTTTCTATTTTTTGCTTTATACAGCAGATTGCACACAGAGTAATGAAATAAAAGAGATATAAAGGAAAAGCGGAGTCATTTCTGCATCTAGTTTGCAGAAAACAAGAACAAATTCAGAAATTAATGTAAAATACCTACAGTGCTCTATTTATCTTCTCCACTAAGTCATTATTGGTAAATTAAAAAAAATAATTAAGAATATATATATGTCAGTGCTCTATTTCAAAGTCCATAAACAAATACATAAAAATAAATGTAGGATATATACCTTTAAATATTTATATATATATACACACACACAAACCCACAGTATACTGTTTGAAGTATACAGTATTCTTTTGAGAATTCTGTACAATACAAGTGTCTCCAAAAAAGTCATTAAAGTGTTTATTAAATAGAAAAGTAAAACTTTTAAATATTTAAGAAAACAGATACTGGTAGAAAATATCTGACAATAGGAGTAGGATAAAAAGATGAAACTAAGAAAACCAAAACAACTTTAAGATGCCTCCAAAACAGCAGAAGCAGAATTATAAAACCATATGACAGCAATCAGGACAGTTAGGATTTGTTCTAAAGATTGAGCTTTTCAAACCACCTATTTATTCCCCTCCCACTCTCCCAATACACTCACATTTCTATGCCCACTACTAGCAGAGTCATGAAGTGGCGTATCATCATCCAAGCCCTGTGTGTTTACGTCGGCTCCTGCTGCTATCAGGACTTTAGCAACATCGTAGTAACCAACATTACAAGCTTCGTGCAGCGGTGTCCAACCTATACCAAAGAATGTTAAGTGTAAGTTTGAAAGGTCAAAGATTTAAGCTTGTTTTTTATCTCCTGTGCTATAGATCTCTATTGCCTTGAAACATTTCAAATTACACTCACACACAGTAGTTGGCAGGAAGGTAACGCCATCCATCTGATGAACAGCATATGCTTTATCAACTTTAAATCTCATGCCACATTCCAAATTTTACTGTGATTACATTGAATTAAATTAAATCACTAATCACATAGTAAAAGACAAAATCTGGCACAAAATCCCCAGGCTAAACATGTTAGAAATTCTTTGACTAGTGAGCATTTGAACACAGTGTTAGGTATATATAAATAACATTATTCTATATGGAAACAGTTTGAAAACCACACTATTGGAAAGAATAAATATGGCAAATTATCATAATGAGTGCTCTTTTAGAGTAACTGAACATGTACCGGGAATCACTAATAACATTCAGCAGCTATTAGTCTAGATAGCAAGCTATTAATAAATATTGGCAGAGACCTTATTCCTGATATTTCCTATAATATTAATCATTTTTAGCAATTTTGATTTCCACACTGATAATCTGAAGTTCAGTGCTCATTTTTTGTAGCAGAGCCTCAACTGAAGATGATGATCAGTCCACACACACTATATTCCTTACCTCAGTTTCCTCTCCCCAGATTCATAGCTGCCCTGAACTTCCAGCCTGCTGTTGATGCCTTCTCAAAGCCCAGTTCTGGGAAGGCATTCAACTTTTGGTTCCAACATAACCAGTGCAAGTCTGGAAGTTTATTCACTTTAACTCTGCATCTAATCAGTAATGGTCTTGTATATCCATGGAGAGGAGGTACAAGAAACCCCTAACTTATCTAATCTCTCAGTAAGGTAATTTCATCTCTCACTCAACTTCTCACCTGCCACTCATTTAAATAAAAAAAGCTAAAAAAAAAAAAGAAAAAAAAAGAAAAAAGCTTCTACCTTCCCAAACAGCAAAACACTTCTTCCTGATCTTTGTATACTAAGTTTCCTCTCCAATCATCACTTGAGTCACTCACTTCCAATGCTGCCTGGCTATCTTCTCCTTTTCATTTTCTTGTCATTTGCTCTTTTCCCCACTCACGCACAATGATAACACTCTTCTGCTTTCAGCCCTCTGATCCCTATCTTCTTTCTGCTTATTAATTCTCTCTGTAATTAATTCTTCTCCATGTTTTACTGCTTTGCCTTTCTATCCTATCACAATGTCCAGCCTGCCAACTCCAGTCCTGGCTTGCTCTCAACATGTGTTTCCTTTACTCTTGTTCTCACACGGCAGTATCATTCTGGCAGATATCCCGTGAGCAGGGTTACTTCCTCCATTACTAATTCATTTTCTGCTCCTTTAGTTCTGCCAAATTCTTAGCTAAACCCTCTAATTCTTTAAACTTCACTGCATCCTAAATTCTTATTTTTCTCCACTCATGACTCACTGCTCAAATCCTCCCCCTCTTCTCAACTTCTTCCTCTGCACATGATTTTGAAGCTCAGCCACCTCTGCCTCTCACTTTGGATTACCAATGGAGAAGTATCTCACTTGATCCCAAACACCTCCTCCAGAGTTCTGAATGAAGTGTCTAACGACACGCTCCAAATTGATTCTCAGAACCAGCTCTCAGCCATTCTCCTCATCCTTTCATCTGCCTTTAAAATTAATTAAATATCTGTACTAGGTCAGGCTGGGATGAAGCTATGAAGTTAACTTCCTTCATAGCAGCCCATACAGTGCTGTGCACTGCATCTGGGGCTAAAATAGTGTTCATAACACACCAGTGTTCTGACTGCTACTCAACAGTGCTTGTACAGTGTCAAGGCTTTCTCTCTCCCTCCCCCCGGGCCAGAGGTTGGGAGGGGACATAGCCAGGACAACTGACCCAAACACTGACCAAAGGGGTATTCTATGCCATATGATGTCATGGTCAGCAAGAAAAGCTCAGGGAAAGGAGAAGGAAGGTGGGATGTTTGGAGTGATGGCATTTGTCTTCCCAAGCAACTGTTACACCAGCTGAGGCCCTGCTCCCCAGGAAGCAGCTGGACATTTGCCTGCCAATGGGAAGTAGTGAATGAATTCCTCTTCTTCCTTTGCTTGCACGTGCAGCTTTTGCTTTTCTTATTAAATGGTCTTTAACTCAACAGATGAGGGCTTTCTTCCATCTTTTCTCCCCCTGCCCTGTTGAGCAGGGGAAAAGAACAGCTGGGTGAGCATCTGGCAGCCAGACAAGGTTAACCCCCCACAACATCTCTTCTTGAAGTGTTTCTATTCTCCCTGTGATTTCTATGGGCCTGTCTTCCCCTGAAACCTCCCCCTCTTCTTTTAAAATTGCTCTTGTCAACAAGTCCTCATCTCCCCTCTCAACTTCTCTGAAGATCTCACAGGGTTCTACTTCTGCTTCTTTTCTTTTCTTTTCTTCCTCTACATGCTAGTCCTGGCCAGCCTCATCTTCAAACACAAATTTCAGCTACCCTCTGTAAACCAAGAAATCACTGATTTGTTTCTTATCTAAAATCAAGATGTTAGTCCCTCTCATTAATATTTGCTCTTGATATCAAGTTTGAGCTGACAACTAATTGTACCATATAGTTATTAATTTCTCCCACTGGGGCTTGCTATCTCAGCTCCTCTCACCCATTCCCAGTGAGAATATAATTCTCACTATAGGCATTCAGACCTGTAAACCGAGCACCTTTAGCAGGCTTTGCTGTAGGTCTACTTAAAATTCTCATTCAGACCCCCATTATATTTTTGCTTCTATTATGCAATGCCTCTACAAACTTGAAATTGCTAGTGCTATCAACTATACTACCAAGAATTCTCAATATTATCTTTATTCCTTTGGGATGCCAGCAGCTCCCCACAAATTGTGTCACCTTTTCTTCAGCATTATCCTTCACATTGGGAGCACAGTCTTTTTGAACAAAACCAAAAGCAACACAGTCCTTTCTTATATTGACTTCCTCACTTTCCCATGATACACTTCTGTGGATGGAAAAAAACCCGATGTTGAAAAGTAGAGTATTAGGAACAGGTATGCCAGTTATACAAAGAACACTTGATACTTGTATTATTTTTTTAGAGTTGTCCTTGCATTTAAGAAACATCTACTGAATCCTATCTTTTTAAAGATGTCTCTTAGATCCCAATGCCACAAAAACCTCCACACCTCACCCAGCCCTCAGAGATAAATCTCTGATTTAGCATTCCTTTCACTCTGTTCCATCCCTCCTCAGTACCTCAACCTCTAAACCCTAAGTGTCTACTCAATACTCCAGCTCCTAAGTCTCATGCCCTTTTACCCTGGTAGAGAAAAAACAGTAGGTACTTTGTCTTATCTCAGTATGTAAGTGCATTTAATTTGGTGCCTGGCCAATCAACAACTGGCAACTACTGAACTCAAAACTACAGGTTCTATCTTCTGTGAAAGCATTCCTTTGGGGAATCTCATATTTACTCTGCTGGATATTTTTTTAGAAAACATGTGGAAACTTAACTACTGTGAGAGTATCAAAAGCAAAATAGGCAAAACTTTGCCAGCAGGTTCAAAAAATTATTTAGGAGGTCTTACAGACAAACAGACTATAAAAAAAAAGATACCAAATAAAGGATACTAAAAATATGGTACAAGTTACAACTTACCTTAAGGCTCATCAATCAGTGCTGAAATCAAAGCAAATACTGACATATCAAAACTATCATTAATCTAGCACAACTAGATGACAAGTGCAAGCTACACCACACTTATTTGCTTTGGTGCATATTAGATGTCCCAGTAAGAATACAACATACATTACAGTGCTGCCACCTACACTGTTACTAAACTCTGCATTTCCTCACATAGCCTACAATCCCATTATCAATTACTGACTTTGCCTAGTATAATTCTACTAAGTTCAGCAAGCATGCACACATATTTTTGTAAATACCTAGTATGCAAAGTCCCTGGCCACAACTGAAACCTCCAGGTATTAATATAACGTTATAATAATACACTATGTACTACAGTGTCCCAGTACTACCACTGCCATCAGAAATAAAAAACATATATGAGAATTTCTAATATGTTTAAGTTGTATCTTTTCATTTGCAAATAGCATGAACTGAAATTAAACCTGTGATAACAACTTCAGCATTAATTTTCAATTTGTACAGTTAAGAGAACATGTATCAACTTACCTGCAAAATCTTTTACATTCACGTTTGCACCTAAACTGATTAGCTCCTTAACCTGTTTAACATCCCCTCGAATTGCTGCCATATGTAGAGGAGTTTCCCCTCGTTCATTTCTCTTGTTAACTTTGTCTTTTTGTCTTGAAGAAGAGCTTGAAGTTTTCTTTTGTGTTGGTGGTGTTTGTAAGGGATGATTTAAGGTGGAATCTACAAAGTAAATTTTTAAATGGTCACTGTAAGTTATTTAGCACTATTTTTATTTCATTTCATTTAAACGCTTGCATTCAAAGGTGACAAGAAGAAGTGAATAATTATCTTTAAATAAAGGATGTATTTGACACTTCACATGTATCAACACAACGCCTATTTGCAATGTGTAAAAAGGGTGTTTTGCAAAATCTCACTATTTTTAAAGCAGATTTCAAGGACAGATGAAGTCTATCCAAACTACAAGGTTCACACACTCTGGTATAAACTCTACTAAAACAAGACAAAGCACGACCATGCAAATTAGTATCTACTCTGCTTCCCCTTCCTCCAGCACAATTCCACTATATTTTTATGTAGTGGGATGCCAGTTTAAGGAATTACTGTCTGCGTATTGTACTCCAGGCACTTCCTCAGCTGTGCCAACACAAATGTTTTTGGGTGGACTGGATAGTTTCTTAAGGTAAAGCTGCCATTTTAAATGCCAAATTTGTAAAAGCCTTACGTGTGTAGAACATATACATACATAAAAGATTTTTTAAATACAACTGGACCAAGGACAGTTTGAAGTTCTGAATTAAAAACAGTGTGTCTCCCCTTTCCCATTAAACGCTAAGGAAACAATCCAGTTTCCTTCTAAATTAAAATCCTGCTCCAAATTGAGACAAGACAGTAGTTAAACTTAATTAAAAAAAAAAATTCCATTTTTAAATAATGCATATGGAACAGTGTTTGAGATGCAAAAATAATCAAAGGAAGAAAAGAGATTTTTCAGGTTTTACAGCTATCATAATGCAAAGCTTTGCACATAAATACAGAAGGTCCAATTACTCATCAATGCAAAATAGTTTTAACAGAATTAGGAATAATTAAAAAAAAATCCGTAAAAATCAAGGATTGTTGAAAAACATCAGGGTTCAGAATATTCTGATTGGGATAGAATTAAACAGGCAGGAGGAAGAAAACTATTAACTTTTTAAGATCACCTGGACTGTTGTCTCTTGCTGTCATCTGCATGAGAAGTGCCATCTGTTTGCGCTCTGACAGAGGATAACCAAAAAGAATGCTAACTGGTGTTGATTTCTTATTTCCAGCATCCTTCTTCATTTTCTTTTTCTCCGCACCTTCCTTCTCTGGAAATATTAACATTTAAAAACTCAAACTGCTGTTCTATTAAAACATTTTTCTAGAAATAGAAGCATCCTTTTAAGGTATGTGAACTGGTGATTGGTGGTAGGTGATGACAACCAGAAATTGCATCTCTAATTTACTGCATTTGCATTAGTTTTGGTTCTAATAGTACCAAGATAAGAAGCTATGGAGTTAAAGCACTTAAAGCTGTAAAGAGAATTACTGAAAAATTCTAAAAGGTGAAAAACCTATTTCACAGCAGGAGGACCATATATGTCACAACTTTAATTTTCAGAGAATCAAGTCAGGTGCTTAAAAAAAAATAAAATCTGTAAGATCAGCCAGTCAACTTTCAGCCTTGAACACAGATCTGAGTCTCTGCTCTATTCTACTTCTCTCAAGACACCATGCTAAAAATTAGGAAAAGATTTTTTAATAACAATATTTGTTAGGTAATTGGATAAAAGATTGTTTTGCTCAAACTCATCCTGTTACATCACTTCAGAGTAATTTCTTCTCCAAAATTCATATCCTTCAAAAACTATTTTATACACATAACTTCTTTCCTTTTATCAATATTTACGGAAGTTGTTTAATATTTCATGTCCAAGTTTTAAACCAGGAGCTAAAATTACACATCTGAATAAACAGATCATTTCTAAAGCTATTCAGTACCTACAAACTCTCACAGATCTTCAGACTGGTTAAATGTGCTCTGAAATCAACAACTTTTTAATACCTAATGAATTTCAAAACTAGCATTTTGTTTGTGTAATTTGGAAACTTTGGTCTGTCTTCCATCCTTTTCAAAAGTTCTTCCTTCATTTTTCTGTATAAAAGTCTCATAAACCAAACACTGGCATTTATGTTAAAGTATGATAGGAAACAACTGATTTGTGATTAAGTGACTTTGACTAAATAATTTTTAACTGGAGCAGTATTTAATGATCTTAATATCAAACAAGTACAAACTCTGAATGCATCAAAATTCTTTTGGTACAATTATTTTCCACAGATCTCCCTACCTGGTCATTACTGTTCAACTGTATTTTCTAGAGACATTAGTTTGCATTTATGTGTAGTGAAGACCATTCATTTTCTGTAATTGTCTCCTCTTTCCAGGTAACTGCTCTTTTTCTGTCTTAACAAGTTCTTATCAAATTCAACGTTTTACATCTTGTAAGTAGCTTATATTACTTAAATGTTAGATCTATAATGTCTACCTTTTTCTTCAGAGCCCCTAAGATTACTACTTGAATATAAAACACTGGATGTAGAGGATGGCTCAAGGAACCTTACACAAATTAGGTGATTTAGAATTAAAATTTTTGAAAGGGTTAAAACCAAAAAAATTCTAACCACAGCTGTCAAGAAGGAACAGTCTGAAGAATATTCTGACAGACTCAACCAACAGAAACAACATCTCCAAACTCTAAAACAAAGCATTTCCTTGGTTTCCTTCCCTAAAAGCCCATGTTCAGCATTAGCTGATGCTGATGTGCCAACTCCCATAAAGCAAGCAAAAATACGAAACAAAGCTCAGGCTTAAAAATTAGAATGGGGAGTATGTAATAAATGAAACAGTGGCAGGGGGGGAAGATGTTGGACTGATCAACTGGACTCGGCCATACTAAAATGCTAGAATTTGGCTGGGAATTGTTTGAGGCTTGGTTGGAGATTGTTACTATTAGTTAAATAAGCCTGGTTGCCACACTGATCTTTCTAGCTCTTTGTGTAGGAAATTATTTCATCTTATTCTTATGGTGACCGATTACTATCTGATGAGACACTGTTCATTCAGTTCTCCACTTGTGCCTTAGGCCCCCTCTGTGGCCCTCCTTGTTTCATTCATTTCCTCTCAACTAATTTTCTGCCTTCCTAGCCTTCTCTAAACCTCATCTTTTAGGCTTGATTACAGACACAGGCTCTGGTAACGCAATGCTCTTGAGGCACAGGAAGGCATCTAAATAGTCCACATCTTGAATTCCATAGTGATCAAATAATAAATACATAATTTCACAGACTAAACAATTATGAGCAAGACTACTTTAAGAATGGAAAGCTTTAGACCTATGTACATATTTTAAAATACCCTACAAATTTATCCATCACGTTTAAGAAGGAAACAAGATCCCTTTTACGGAAGCAATTGATGAGATTTTTATAAAGTGCATACATCTCATGCTCCTGAATATCTAAAAATTCATTCAATATCCAAATCAACACTGCTGCCCTATTGGTAGAACGTCTGCATAGGAAAATCTAAAGAAAACCTACAATTAAATTGTACTTTCAACTTTTCGCTGTGTATATACTGTTCTCTCTCCAAGGATAATGTACAGCATGCCCTTCATTGACTAATTTAGTACTTCCATCAAAACAACACATTTCAGTTTGTCTGGCATGATCTGCTGTTTCTTAGCTTATGCTATTCACTGGTCATGATTCTTTTCTTGAAAAAACACATTTTCATTCTGAATTATTCCTTAGAATTTTATAGCTATACTCAGCTTGAGAAAATAATACATCAAAATAAGTGAAATAAATCTTTTGATGATCTAGCTTTCACTTTTTTACTATACAGTGTACTTTTCCAGGTGTTTTTATCTGTTGGTTTTTGGTTTAGGTTGGGGTTTTTTTAATTATTTTGTTAGAAAAGCCTACTAAGTAAATGAGTGCAATTTACTCCCATCTCATGTTTACCATTGTCAAACAACATGAAGATCCTACATATTCCAATGCATTTCAGTGGTGGGGCAAATTATTGTTCTATTACTCTTCATTAACACTGTGTTTGCAAAGCATTGCTAGAGCTTAACAATTAAAAGTACCAAATAAGAATACAACTGCTCTCACCAAGTTATACCATAATTATGCCCTTACCACTCAAAAAAAGACACAATTTTATTACAATTTATATGAGATTTCATGTGTGTTTTCAGTAAATCTAAACAGTTCAATACACAAAATTAATATGATCAACAACAAGCCTAAAAATAAGAGCATCTGAGGACTACAGCAGGTGCATCTGATAATCCATTTCCTGCAGTATGTCCTGTAAGAGGCTATTGCTTTTCCCCCTCAAGGTCTTGTGTATGCCCTGGTTCTGAATGTACAAGATAAAACAACATAGGATAAAAGGGGTGGAAGGAAGCAAAAGGAAGGGAGCAGGGCATATAAAAAAAAAAAAGAAATTTTTATACACAAAAAAATACATAAATAAAAAATAGTCAAAACATACTTTTTTTTTTTTTTAAATTCACGGTAAAGAACAGTGCAACTGTTGATAAAGCAGCTACACAAATCCACAGAAAAATTCTTATAAATTATTGGGAACCCCCATTATGCTTATTGCAGAATGTATGACAATATTTGTTTTCACTGCTCCATGAATATCATCACGCAGTACACTATACTTTATTTAGCAGGAAAAGACCAATTTAATGTTCAGGAACTTTGGCTTTTTGGATACTCTTTATCTTGTGGTAACAAAAAACTCTTCACAGCTGTGTACTTGATGTTTATACAATTTGAACAGTAATAACTTCCCTAATAGAGGAATAATGCTCTACTAATAGATAGAATTTAATGTAAAAAATTGACTGTTAAAGTCAATTAGGTTTTGGGGTTTTGGTTTTTTTTTTAGATTTTGAGCATTTTGTTTTCAAAGTCTATGGAATACAAATACCTTCTTTTACATTCACTTGTCACTTTTTGGTGTTCTTCAGCAGTTAGAAACAGAACATCAGGGAATTTCTTGTTATTAAAAAATAAAAAAACCTCTTCAAGTAGCTTCACATTCAATTATCTTTATTTAATAAGCTTCATAATATCTGGACAACATTCCTTTTGCAATGTAAGCTTTTCATCTAACACTTAAAAAAAAATATTTAAAAATAGCCAAGTTATGTGAAATAGTGATTTAGGTGCATTTGAGCACTTATTTGTAGTAAAGCTTCATGAAATTCAGTCATAGAACTGGTATAAGAAACATCAGAATCACTGGTGATTATTTTAGGAGAATTTATGCATGACAGATTATGTCCCAAGGCAACCAATAATGTATCTGTTTTTTTATGTAAATAATTTGGATAAATTACAAATTCTTAGTAACGTAATTTCTAAATGTTTTAGAAAAATAAGTTATTAAATAACATACCATGTGGATTTCTCAAAACAAATCATGCCAAAGTAATAGAATATTCAATTTGGTAAAATAACCACCTTAGTGGGTAAAGGAAATAAAGCAAAAAGACCAAATTCAAACTTCAGGGTTCATGATAGTCTGGTTGCATGTAAAACTCCTATCATAGTGCAAATTGTAAAGAATAATAGGATTAAGAAACAGGACCATGTGAAGCTAAAATATGAACTGCTTGAAATAAATGCTTCTAAGGAAATTACAAGATTGAGTGACATACAACAGAAGACTAATATGCTTATTACCAACAACTGCAGAAAACAGATCTAGATGAACAGTTCTGCAGATGACGAAGTTGAGAGAGACAGAGTTACTGAGATCTGTGTGATTGTGGTAATCTTACTGAAGTTATTTTAAAGAGAAACACATCAGTATTGATTGCTGCTTCCTGTCCTCAGTGAAAGAGACAGATTAGAATGTGATGAAGAGACCTCACAGTATACTGTGCACTGTAGAGATATCAAGGTAATATTGTGATATCTAATCAAGTTTATGGCATAGTTCTTTAACCAAACCAACACACACATACACACAGGCAAAACCACCTCCACTTTCCTATCTCTAGCCCAAACAACAGTTAAAGAAAGTTGTAATAGTTGAACAATAACACCAAATCTAGCAAGCAGTAACACAGTGTGTAAACAGTCCCCTTCACAGCCCCACTAACCTCTGTAACTACGGGAAGCACAAGTACAGAAATTGTCTTACTATGATGTACAGATAGAACAAAGAGGTCAGTTGTTTTGCTTTTCTGGATGCCAATTAAATGCTAAAAGAAAGATGACTGTGCCATGTTTGGAC